GCAGAGAGATCTACAAGCAGGTCCTCCATCATCTGCCTGATCTGGACCTGCTGTCCACGGACACTTTCAAGGTCAGACAACGGCACCTTCAGGCCTGCAGGGGGCGATAGTCTGCAGACTAAACCTTCATTCTGACGCTTTGCAGGAGAAACTGGCGCATCATCGCTGGCTGATCAGTTTTACCTTCAGTAGCGGGTCTGCCTCCAGCGAGTACAAGAAGCTCCGCGCTCTCCTCCGAAACGACCACATCCAGGTAGGCGTCCAGCCGTCAGCGGGCATCCTCTGGCGTCACGCCGTCTGTCTGCGGGCGTCTCCAGCTGCGGGCGTCTCCAGCTGCGGGCGTCTCCAGCTGCGGGCGTCCCGCTGTCTGTCTGCGGGCGTCTCCAGCTGCGGCCGTCTCCGGGCTGCGGCCGTCTCCGGCTGCGGGCGTCTCCGGCTGCGGGCGTCCCGCCGTCCAGCTGCGGGCATCCCGCCGTCCAGCTGCGGGCGTCCCGCTGTCTGTCTGCGGGCGTCTCCAGCTGCGGGCGTCCCGCTGTCTGTCTGCGGGCGTCTCCAGCTGCGGGCGTCCCGCTGTCTGTCTGCGGGCGTCTCCAGCTGCGGGCGTCCCGCTGTCTGTCTGCGGGCGTCTCCAGCTGCGGGCGTCCCGCTGTCTGTCTGCGGGCGTCTCCAGCTGCGGGCGTCCCGCCGTCCGTCTGCAGCGTTGTCCTGACTGAGCTCCTGTCCACAGGTGGGGCGGGTGGACTGCGCCGCAGAGCGCCAGCTGTGTCAGTCTCTGTACATCCAGAAACCCTGTGTGGCCGTTTTCAAAGGACTGGGAATCAACGACTTTGAGATCCACCACGGTCTGGACCACGCCTTCATTTCGATGGCTGCTCTGCACGCCGCAGGTCTGTTGATCTTCACCGTGTCTGTCTGCAGGGAAGGACGTGCTCTACAACATCGTGGGTTTTGCCAGGGAGAGCGTTCGCGCTCATGTGACCACGCTGAGGCCAGACAACTTCCCCTCCAACAGGAAGGAGCCGTGGCTCGTCGACTTCTTTGCTCCGGTTTGTAGATCCTTCCTGAACCGCAGAACGCCTGCTGGATGTTCTCCGCTTCTCACTGAGCGCCACCCACCTTTAAAGGAATAGTACACCCAAAACATGATTAGCCTTCATTTTCTACTCACCCCCATGCTGAACAACACTCTGGAGTACTTTTTTGATATCTCAAATGCATCTGGAGATCTGGGAGGCTTCTTGCTGTCTGCTGACATTCAAATAATGGAGGTCTATGGCGCCCGAGGCAGAAAGGTCCATAAAAGTCCACAAAAAACGTGTCAATATTCCTCCATACTGCTCGTCCAATGTATTCCAAGTGTCCTGAGTGGGTAGCGTCCAGAATTTACTCGAAACGAAGTCATTTAGAATGTTTTTAGATCATAAACAGTAGTGTATAGGATTTCCTGAAAGCGCGCACATGTGCGCTCACGACGCTACGGAAGCCGGCAGACCAAACCAGATGAAAGTGCGCATTCAGCTCGGCAAAGAACTCATGCTCTTCCTCAACACTGAAGTCCTCAGACATTTTTCTTTCGTTGTTTCTTTCTTTGCACAGGTAAACAGCACATTTCTTCTTCTACGCTTGCATTATCGGCAGAGCAGACGCTGAATGCGCACTTTCATCTGGTTTGGTCTGCCGCGGTTTCCGTAGACTCGTGAACGCGCTTTTAGGAAATCCTATACACTACTGTTTATGCTCTAAAAACATTCTAAATGACTTCGTTTCGAGTAAATTCTGGACGCTACCCACTCAGGACACTTGGAATACATTGGACGAGCAGTATGGAGGAATATTGACACGTTTTTTGTGGACTTTTATGGACCTTTCTGCCTCGGGCGCCATGGACCTCCATTATTTGAATGTCAGCAGACAGCAAGAAGCCTCCCAGATCTCCAGATGCATTTGAGATATCAAAAAAGTACTCCAGAGTGTTGTTCAGCATGGGGGTGAGTAGAAAATGAAGGCTAATCATGTTTTGGGTGTACTATTCCTTTAAGGGACCTTCTGGTTCCACTGTGACGGTGCCAGCAGCCCAGTTTAACCGAACTGGTGCACTTTATCCAGTGTATGGTTTAACTGGGCTGTGGACCCCAGACAGAAAGACCCAGAACATGGCAGCTAGCAGCTCCTGAGAGAAGGAGAGGGCAGGACTGGACAGTCTTCATATTGGACCCATTGCACTGGTTCTGTCCCGTTGCACTGGTTCTGTCCCGTTGCACTGGTTCTGTCCCATTGCACTGGTTCTGTCCCGTTGCACTGGTTCTGTCAGGAGGAATGGTCCAAATTCTTTTGTCAGGTCCTGAGATCCAGAGACCTGGAGGTTCCACTGAGTCTCTAGAATCCATGAAGGTTCCTGTGAACCATTGAAGTTGTTCCTACAGTTGGAGCCTCCTGGTCCAGCAGGTCTCTGGTTGGGTGGGGATCAGTTTCAGTTCTCCACCCAGAAGACAAACATCTACAGGAGGCTGATGATGATGAGGAGGAGGGACGGGTTCCCCCACAGCGAAGGAGGAAGAAGAACGTCTGGAAATCTACAACATCCTGTTTGTTCATTAAATATATTTAAAGTTAAACCAGTTCTATCAGATAAACACCCTGATCTCCTCCTCATCCTCATCATCCTCATCCTCTGATCTAACAGCTGGAATCACTGGATCTCCTTTAGTGCCAGCAGTGTACGTTAAAAACAGCCGCTATGGTCCCAGAGCTGCAGGTCTCTGGGACCAGACCTGACCAGACCTGAACTGGTTCTGACCTGCGGCCATGTTGTTTCCCTCCCTGTGTGCAGTGGTGTCCTCCATGCAGAGCTTTACTTCCTGAACTGAGGAAAGCGTCCATCCAGCTGGCGGGACAGATGAAGTTTGGGACCCTGGACTGTACGGTCCATCCAGACCTGTGCTCCACGGTGAGCTGGGGGGGGTGGTTAGGATCAGTAATGGCGGATCAGCTGCTCATCCTCTCTCTCTCTGGGTCTCAGTATAACATCCAAGCGTATCCCACCACCGTCATCTTCAACGGCTCGTCTCTGCATGAATATGAAGGACATCACTCTGCTGACGGCATCTTGGAGTTCATCCAGGTGAGTTCAGAGCACCAGCTTCTCTGAGCTTAGGGCGGTTAGGGGATGTTCTGGTTCTGATAGAGTTGGTCTGCCTCTGCAGGACCTGGTCAACCCGTCGGTGGTGGTCCTCGATCCCTCCAGCTTCTCAGACAAAGTTAAAGGTACAAAGTCCAGTTTGGAAGGTTTGCTGAACCCACAGCCAGCTGACCCGGGTGGTGTTGGTGTTTCAGGCAGAGCTGAGGGGCAGACCTGGGCGGTGGACTTCTACGCTCCTTGGTGCGGTCCCTGTCAGGCCATGATGCCAGAGTGGAGACGCATGGCTCGGGTACGACCTGAGGCTCTAAGTTCAGCTTTGCTCCAAACCGTTAGATTACCTGGGTGTTCAGGATGAGTCCAACCGGCCATCAGCGTCCTAAGCCGTCTCCTCCCCCTGCAGATGGTTTCTGGTCAGATCCTGGTGGGTTCCCTGGACTGTCAGCGCTTCCAGACCTTCTGCCAGAGCCAGGGAGTGAGGGCCTACCCTGAGGTCCGCCTGTACGCCGGGAGCACCAAGCAGCCGGACCGCTATGCGTCAGTACCGCGTCAGATGGAGGTCAGAGTCAGTAGGATCTTCTACCAACATCTAGTTCTCTCTGCAGGACCTACAGCGGCTGGAGCAGAGACGCCCAAACGCTGAGAGCCTGGGCGCTGAGGTATCTGCCTCTGACCTCCTCATCCTCCCCCCACCCTGGGGCAGAACAGGTTGGTATCAGACTAACGGGAGTGTTCTTCCTGCAGCTCGTTGCCCAGAGCGTCGGTGGACCTGACTCCAGGGACCTTCAGATCCCAGGTTCTTTCAGGTCGGGATCACTGGGTTCTGGATTTCTATGCCCCCTGGTGCGGACCATGTCAACACTTTGCTCCGGAGTTTGAGATCCTGGCCCGGGTGAGACGCTCGTCTGTCTGTAGTGACGGTTTAGATTCAACCTAAAATCATTTTAACACCAAGAAGTTATTTTGTTTTTTGGAAGAAAAACCGTTTTGTTCTCCTGAAGTTTTCCTTCTCTGATCTTCAGCCGGCGGCTCCAAGTCCAGGGCTTGGATGAGCTCCTGGCCAGCACCCTAATGTTTAGATTCGCTCCAAAGTGTTAGCTTAGCGCGCACTAGCCATGTATAGTGAAAGCCCTTTGGGAAACTCCTCCAACTCCCATTGTCATTGTGACACAGCACACACAAGTGAACACTGCACACCATGAAATTGCATTTATGCCTCACCCGTGCAAGGGGGCAGCCCTCAATGGCGCCCCAAGGGAGCAGTGTGGCGGGACGGTACCATGCTCAGGGTACCTCAGTCATGGAGGAGGATGGCTGCCCAGCTCACCCACGACTGCCCAAGGAGGCCTTAGTGCTTGACGCGGGTGACCTGGGTTCGAGTAGCGACCTGTGGTCCTTTGCCGCATGTCTCTCCTCCTCCTCTCTCATCCCTCTTTCCTGTCAGTCTGCTGTCAGAAAAACGAGCCACTAGCGCCGTAAAAACTCCAAAAAATGAAACGTTAGCTTAGCTTTCAGCAGTGTCGGGCTGAGCTGTAGCGCCTGGGAGCTAGCTATGCTCTGTTCTTCCTCTGACAGACGCTGAAGGGGGAGGTCCGGTCCGGGAAGGTGGACTGTCAGGCCCACTATGAGACGTGTCAGTCAGCCGGGATAACCGCCTACCCTACAGTGCGCTTCTACGCCTACCGAGGATCCAGGAGGGTGAGGCTGCAGCCTTCATCCAGCAGGGGGCGCCTTGTTGCTCCCTTTAATGTAAACCGCATCACTCAGGAGCCTGTTGCTCTCCCTGCAGTATGAACACAGCGGGGAGCACATCAACAGCCGGGACGCAAACACCATCGCTGACATCATCCGGAGCCGCCTGGAACAGCTGTCGCCACGGTTACACAGCACGCCAAAGGTAACGTCACCTGGTTTGGCGGTCAGGGGGTCTGCTGGACAGAATCAGCACATTTCTGCCTGCTTGTTCTGCAGGATGAGCTCTGACACCGGAGGAGCCCCGTTCTGATTGGTGGGAGCCGGAATGCGCCTGATTTGATTGGTCCAGCCTCCTGGAGCCTGACGGCGGCTGGCAGCCGCCTCCAGGGTGTGTATTTACTCTATGAAGTAAACCTGCGGGACACGATGGGAAGTTACTGACGCACTACTGCATCTCAGAGCTGCTGAGATGGTCTCTGCTTTTTATTCTCTCAGGTTTTTATTTGGGCTAAAATTGGTAGAAATGAACTTTTATCCTTTAGTTTGGCTTCACTGTTCTGGATAAAAACAAACCTGTGCTATAAAAGACACTCCATCTCAATCCAATAAAATCTTCTTTTCTAATACTTTGTTTCTATTTACTTTTATTCTACAGAAACCTTCATTTTCTATACTAATATTAAACACAGTTTGAATCATAGTTAGTCTCCCAGAGATCAGTAGAGAGGAACATAGATCTAGATCAGTCAGATTGGGAGCAGTAGGAGCCGTTTACATGCATGCAGGGATCAGCAGCTTTAATCCAGATTGCTAACAGCTAGTTAACAAAATGAATTCTGGGAAACGCGAAGGAAAGTAAAGGTACGGCGAGTCTGCAATAGTTAAGACCCGCCCCCATCTATGGTGCCCTGGGTAACCATGACGATGAGGCTCCAACTGAAGGAGGCCATTTTTATTGGATGGAGCAGTTCATGTAAATATCCATAAATAACTTAGTGTAAATAATTCCTTATTAAAGCACGTCATGGTTAAAGTTCATGTTCATAGATTCTATATCATCTATATCTACATCACCAAGGAGACGCCCTCCTGCAGCATTTGGGAACCTTTCAAATTAGATTCTTCCAAATAATTAAATCAATATGGGAGTGAAATCTGAGGTAATCAGATTACGACCTGTTTCCAGGAATCTTGGAAGAATAACAAAATCTTTGGATCCAAACTGTTTGATCCAGAAAGAAATGGATCCAAACTCTGTTTGATCCAGAAAGAAATTGATCCAAACTCTGTTTGATCCAGAAAGAAATGGATCCAAACTCTGTTTGATCCAGAAAGAAATGGATCCAAACTGTTTAATCCAGAAAGAAATGGATCCAAACTGTTTAATCCAGAAAGAAATGGATCCAAACTCTGTTTGATCCAGAAAGAAATGGATCCAAACTGTTTAATCCAGAAAGAAATTGATCCAAACTGTTTGATCCAGAAAGAAATGGATCCAAACTCTGTTTGATCCAGAAATAAATGGATCCAAACTCTGTTTGATCCAGAAAGAAATGGATCCAAACTGTTTGATCCAGAAAGAAATGGATCCAAACTGTTTAATCCAGAAAGAAATGGATCCAAACTGTTTGATCCAGAAAGAAATGGATCCAAACTGTTTGATCCAGAAAGAAATGGATCCAAACTGTTTAATCCAGAAAGAAATGGATCCAAACTCTGTTTGATCCAGAAAGAAATGGATCCAAACTGTTTAATCCAGAAAGAAATGGATCCAAACTCTGTTTGATCCAGAAAGAAATGGATCCAAACTGTTTAATCCAGACAGAAATGGATCCAAACTCTGTTTGATCCAGAAAGAAATGGATCCAAACTGTTTAATCCAGAAAGAAATGGATCCAAACTCTGTTTGATCCAGAAAGAAATGGATCCAAACTCTGTTTGATCCAGAAAGAAATGGATCCAAACTGTTTAATCCAGAAAGAAATGGATCCAAACTCTGTTTGATCCAGAAAGAAATTGATCCAAACTCTGTTTGATCCAGAAAGAAATTGATCCAAACTCTGTTTGATCCAGAAAGAAATTGATCCAAACTCTGTTTGATCCAGAAAGAAATGGATCCAAACTCTGTTTGATCCAGAAAGAAATGGATCCAAACTGTTTAATCCAGAAAGAAATGGATCCAAACTCTGTTTGATCCAGAAAGAAATGGATCCAAACTGTTTAATCCAGAAAGAAATTGATCCAAACTCTGTTTGGTCCAGAAAGAAATGGATCCAAGCTCTGTTTGATCCAGAAATAAATGGATCCAAACTGTTTTATCCAGAAAGAAATGGATCCAAACTGTTTGATCCAGAAAGAAATGGATCCAAACTGTTTAATCCAGAAAGAAATGGATCCAAACTGTTTAATCCAGAAAGAAATGGATCCAAACTCTGTTTGATCCAGAAAGAAATGGATCCAAACTGTTTAATCCAGAAAGAAATTGATCCAAACTCTGTTTGATCCAGAAAGAAATGGATCCAAACTGTTTGATCCAGAAAGAAATGGATCCAAACTGTTTTATCCAGAAAGAAATGGATCCAAACTGTTTGATCCAGAAAGAAATGGATCCAAACTGTTTAATCCAGAAAGAAATGGATCCAAACTCTGTTTGATCCAGAAAGAAATGGATCCAAACTGTTTAATCCAGAAAGAAATGGATCCAAACTGTTTGATCCAGAAAGAAATAGATCCAAACTCTGTTTGATCCAGAAAGAAATGGATCCAAACTGTTTAATCCAGAAAGAAATTGATCCAAACTCTGTTTGATCCAGAAAGAAATGGATCCAAACTCTGTTTGATCCAGAAATAAATGGATCCAAACTCTGTTTGATCCAGAAAGAAATGGATCCAAACTGTTTGATCCAGAAAGAAATGGATCCAAACTGTTTTATCCAGAAAGAAATGGATCCAAACTGTTTGATCCAGAAAGAAATGGATCCAAACTGTTTAATCCAGAAAGAAATGGATCCAAACTCTGTTTGATCCAGAAAGAAATGGATCCAAACTGTTTAATCCAGAAAGAAATGGATCCAAACTGTTTGATCCAGAAAGAAATAGATCCAAACTCTGTTTGATCCAGAAAGAAATGGATCCAAACTGTTTAATCCAGAAAGAAATGGATCCAAACTCTGTTTGATCCAGAAAGAAATGGATCCAAACTGTTTAATCCAGAAAGAAATGGATCCAAACTCTGTTTGATCCAGAAAGAAATGGATCCAAACTCTGGATCCATTTCTTTCTGAATCAAACAGAGTTTGGATCCATTTCTTTCTGGATCAAACAGAGTTTGGATCCATTTCTTTCTGGATTAAACAGTTTGGATCCATTTCTTTCTGGATCAAACAGAGTTTGGATCCATTTCTTTCTGAATCAAACAAACTGTTTGATCCAGAAAGAAATGGATCCAAACTGTTTGATCCAGAAAGAAATGGATCCAAACTGTTTAATCCAGAAAGAAATGGATCCAAACTCTGTTTGATCCAGAAAGAAATGGATCCAAACTGTTTAATCCAGAAAGAAATGGATCCAAACTCTGTTTGATCCAGAAAGAAATGGATCCAAACTGTTTAATCCAGAAAGAAATGGATCCAAACTCTGTTTGATCCAGAAAGAAATGGATCCAAACTGTTTAATCCAGAAAGAAATGGATCCAAACTCTGTTTGATCCAGAAAGAAATGGATCCAAACTCTGTTTGATCCAGAAAGAAATGGATCCAAACTGTTTAATCCAGAAAGAAATGGATCCAAACTCTGTTTGATCCAGAAAGAAATGGATCCAAACTCTGTTTGATCCAGAAAGAAATTGATCCAAACTCTGTTTGATCCAGAAAGAAATGGATCCAAACTCTGTTTGATCCAGAAAGAAATGGATCCAAACTGTTTAATCCAGAAAGAAATGGATCCAAACTGTTTAATCCAGAAAGAAATGGATCCAAACTCTGTTTGATCCAGAAAGAAATGGATCCAAACTGTTTAATCCAGAAAGAAATTGATCCAAACTGTTTGATCCAGAAAGAAATGGATCCAAACTCTGTTTGATCCAGAAATAAATGGATCCAAACTCTGTTTGATCCAGAAAGAAATGGATCCAAACTGTTTGATCCAGAAAGAAATGGATCCAAACTGTTTAATCCAGAAAGAAATGGATCCAAACTGTTTGATCCAGAAAGAAATGGATCCAAACTGTTTGATCCAGAAAGAAATTGATCCAAACTGTTTAATCCAGAAAGAAATGGATCCAAACTCTGTTTGATCCAGAAAGAAATGGATCCAAACTGTTTAATCCAGAAAGAAATGGATCCAAACTCTGTTTGATCCAGAAAGAAATGGATCCAAACTGTTTAATCCAGACAGAAATGGATCCAAACTCTGTTTGATCCAGAAAGAAATGGATCCAAACTGTTTAATCCAGAAAGAAATGGATCCAAACTCTGTTTGATCCAGAAAGAAATGGATCCAAACTCTGTTTGATCCAGAAAGAAATGGATCCAAACTGTTTAATCCAGAAAGAAATGGATCCAAACTCTGTTTGATCCAGAAAGAAATTGATCCAAACTCTGTTTGATCCAGAAAGAAATTGATCCAAACTCTGTTTGATCCAGAAAGAAATGGATCCAAACTCTGTTTGATCCAGAAAGAAATGGATCCAAACTGTTTAATCCAGAAAGAAATGGATCCAAACTCTGTTTGATCCAGAAAGAAATGGATCCAAACTGTTTAATCCAGAAAGAAATGGATCCAAGCTCTGTTTGATCCAGAAAGAAATGGATCCAAGCTCTGTTTGATCCAGAAATAAATGGATCCAAACTGTTTTATCCAGAAAGAAATGGATCCAAACTGTTTGATCCAGAAAGAAATGGATCCAAACTGTTTAATCCAGAAAGAAATGGATCCAAACTGTTTAATCCAGAAAGAAATGGATCCAAACTCTGTTTGATCCAGAAAGAAATGGATCCAAACTGTTTAATCCAGAAAGAAATTGATCCAAACTCTGTTTGATCCAGAAAGAAATGGATCCAAACTGTTTGATCCAGAAAGAAATGGATCCAAACTGTTTTATCCAGAAAGAAATGGATCCAAACTGTTTGATCCAGAAAGAAATGGATCCAAACTGTTTAATCCAGAAAGAAATGGATCCAAACTCTGTTTGATCCAGAAAGAAATGGATCCAAACTGTTTAATCCAGAAAGAAATGGATCCAAACTGTTTGATCCAGAAAGAAATAGATCCAAACTCTGTTTGATCCAGAAAGAAATGGATCCAAACTGTTTAATCCAGAAAGAAATTGATCCAAACTCTGTTTGATCCAGAAAGAAATGGATCCAAACTCTGTTTGATCCAGAAATAAATGGATCCAAACTCTGTTTGATCCAGAAAGAAATGGATCCAAACTGTTTGATCCAGAAAGAAATGGATCCAAACTGTTTTATCCAGAAAGAAATGGATCCAAACTGTTTGATCCAGAAAGAAATGGATCCAAACTGTTTAATCCAGAAAGAAATGGATCCAAACTCTGTTTGATCCAGAAAGAAATGGATCCAAACTGTTTAATCCAGAAAGAAATGGATCCAAACTGTTTGATCCA